TTGAGAGTCTATGGCTCTCTATGTGAGTCTATGGATATGTATATTAGTCTATGGGATCTGTGTAAGTCTATGGGTCTCTATGAGAGTTTATGGGTCTTTATGAGAGTCTATGGATATGTATATTAGTCTATGGGTTCTGTGTAAGTCTATGGGTCTCTATGTGAGTCTGTGGGTCTATGTGAGTCTATGGGTCTCTATGAGAGTCTATAGATATTTATTTTAGTCTATAGGATCTGTGTAAGTCTATGGATATTTATATTAGTCTATGGGATCTGTGCGAGTCTATGAGTCTGCGTGTGTCTATGGCTTTATGTGTAAGTCTACGGGTCTCTATGTAAAGCAATGGGGAGGGTCTTCGCGAAAGGAAGTCCACGCAAGTCGCTCTGCTTCGGGAACTTAAATGTTCCGTTTTGACTTAAAACTTTCGTGACTGCAGGAATTCATATTATTTGGTTCTTTAATAATAAAATAATATTTCCTTTAATTTTATTATTGTTCTTAATTTTTTCTATCTACGTGACTTTACCGAAAGAACCATAGAATATGTCAATGTTCCCGTTCAACACGAACACCTGTAGGGCAGGACAGGCGCTGCGTGGACGCTTGTTGTTGACTCCAACCTGATCTTCCCCGGAGCCCCAAGCCTGTCTCACATCCCCTTATACCCCCCTCCCTCCCGCCTCTCATCTTTCCCGGCAATCTTTATCGTTCCGGGGATCCCCCCCCCACCCAAATCCCCTTTCAGGGGCATTCCTTGCCCATGACTCTGGTTATTTGGGCGTCACGGTTGCGAGATGTTAACTCTCTCGAGATGTTAACTCCCACCGCGCTCCGTTCCGGGGTATGAGTGCGTGCGTGTTTGGATGGGTGACGATTGTCCAGAACTGATGCTTCCCCTAGGTCGACTCAGCCTCAAATCAGTACACGGTGCGGTGCGTCAACATCGCCACTGGGGAGACGAAGGCGGGCCGGGCGTGGTGCTCGCCACCCACCCCTTCGTGTGCCGTGCCGGCCCTCACAGGTGCTCGCTAACAGCACTTGCCCCAACAGTCTGTTCAGACTATACGGGGGATCTTTGTCTTTGTGTGTGTTTATGGAGGAGCGGTTGTTTAGTGGTGAGCGCACTGCGTTACAAACATGACGACCCGAGGTCGATCACCGCCCACGATCAAAAACAGTGGCGAATAATTGCATCGGCACTGAGCCTCCCTTAGAACGACTTAGCCTGAAATAAGAGCAGTACCTGGTGCAATGTGTAAACATCGCCACTCGGGAGACAAAGGCGGGCCGAGCGTGGTTGCGACCAGTACTTGCCCCAGCAGTCTGTTAAAAGGCTACACGGGGGTATATTTGCCTTGTATATGGGGGGGGGGGGTGTGTTTGGGGGGGGGGGTGTGAGCGCTCGGCCAATGAGCGTCCAGGGAGATTCATCTGCTGCAACTGCTGCTGCACGTGCGCGGCGGGGTCGCGGAGCGGACAAAAGCCCCCGATGCACTGGAGGGGTCTCACACGGACTCTGACTTGTTGACGTGGCAAAGGCGGGGCGCGCCTTCATCCAGCGGTGGTTGCATAAGAGGGCGGTAAATTATCAATTGATATACACGTACGCACTGATTTCCACTTTTTTGGTTTAACTCACTTTAATAACTTTGAAAAATAATAATAATACAATATTGATGAGCGGCGACATCCATCACGACACAGGTCCCGGGTCCCGCCCGAGATGTTTACACGGGAAAAATTACACATTGCACTATGTTGTATGCATGTCGAACTTCTTTCGCACCGTACGTAGCCAACCGTGCTTAATTGGCGGATGCACATTGTCGTATTGATGAGACAGGGACCATGGCGATGGTCGAGAGAGAGTTGTCGTCTAACGTTCCTATTGCTGACTGGTTCCGTGTGTGTGCTGGGAAGGTCTGCACCACGGCAGAATCGATCCAGATCAGCGATGTCTCCCCCGGGGTGCCCGTGTCCTCCGGCTGGGAGAGGCCGTGAAAAAGTCTCAATATTTAAAATGTTCTTTGGATTATAAGACGCACTCCCTACCCCCTGTATTTAAAAACAAACTAGCAGGCCGCGCGTATTGTGGACGTGTCCGTTCGTTCCTCCAGCCAGCCAGCTAAACTATTTGATTTTGATTTAAAGCTTTCGTGACTGCAGGGATTCATCTTCTTGGTTCTTTCGGTAAAGTCACGTAGAATTACAAAAAAATACCTACGTGACTTTACCGAAAGAACCAAGAAGATACACGATTTGATATTGAGTATCCGTCCCCATCTACCCATCCCTGGGTGCCCCCGTCCCGGGCCTGACAGCCCCCCCTCCACCCACTTATCCCCAAAGTTGCCCCCCACGTCACCCCACCATGCACCCCCCCCCCCACCCGCGCTTTCCCTCTGTGCCCACCATCGAAATCGCCCCCCTCCGCAAACCGTGCCCCCAACCACTTCCGCTCGCTGGGCAAGACATGGCCTCCAGCGCGGTGCCAGCCAGCCAGAAACACTTTTTCTCTCTCTTGTAGTATGATAGCGAACGGTGGTCAGGATTAATCCCGGCTATTTCTTGCTCACTCACGCCAGTGCTGGCGAAGGGCATCCATTCAGAATACGCTCCAATGTACTCTTTGGTTTTTTCGGTAAAGTCACGTAGGTAAAAAAATGTATTAAATAAATTGAATCACGTGACTTTACCGAAAAAACCAAAAAGTATGAATCCTTGCAGTCACGAAAGCTTCAAATCTAGAAGCTCCAATGGTTTATACTCAAGTGGACCTCCTATCCTATGTTATGTAATATATTAATCACTCCGCTAAGCAGTGGGTTTGCCAAGTTAACAATGCTGGACATATACCCCGTTACTCGCTATGTTGTCTGCCACGACTAACACGCGTGTGTGTGTGAGTGCCTGGCTTCCACAAGATTATCTGAGCCAGTCCCAGGCCTGCTTAGGTTGTCTCTTGGGATACATTTCGATTTAAAGCTTGTGGTTTTCACACCTGGTGATGATTTGCTTGTGTTGCAATCGAAACGTGAGAATTTTATTGTTTTATTTTTATTATTTTATTATTTCTCTTGGGATACAATGGCGGCCTGGTGTGGTACTGCCTCCGCTACCCGCTCGTGCGCTTTAACAGACGCTCGCCAATATGAGAACTCGTCCCAACAATCTGCGTATGCTACACGGGTGATCTTTGTCTTTGTATGAGATGACGTTACAGAGACGGTACGCGTGTATGGCTAACCCATACTCGTTGCGCTCTGAATCCGGGTAGCTGAATTCGAATCCCGGTCACGGCTAAAAACTTTGGTGAATTATATCTGAAACGCTCAAAGGTAACCCCCCTTCACCAACCCGAAGTAGAGTCAAGCAATCCCCCTGACCGAAAGACACGTGGAGATCATCTCGGGTTCTAGAATAATACCAGGTAAATGAAGAATGATCAGGTGTTAGATGTTTTTTTTTTAATATTTATTTTACTGCCGTAAAATATAATTTGCGTTTTTGGTTGCAGGACAATCTTGATAGACAATTCCCTTTCCTGCATCACGCGGTGGGCCCTGCGTGGTGCAGGCAATGCAACGGGGACCCTTGCCCCCCCCCCCACCCCTGCTCCATAGTCAGGCGTATCGGTCCCTGTGCAGTTGCACCGCCTACACAGACGACAGCTATAGCACTGCCAGAGAAAGCGCCGTGCGAAAGATCCTGCTTTGTATTATTACACGCTTTGATTTAACTGACTCGGTCTGGTGTATCCTGAAAACAGAAATCTTGTAACTAAATTTTTACCCACTTCCCAGTGTGCTATCGACTGCAAACTTGAAAGAGCTATGTCATACTGATGACAAGACTATATTCTATCATACAATTTAAAACATATATTTTAAAACATTTTACACGCTTTTATTTAACTTACTTTGTGTGTTGTCGTATACTAACATCTTGCAACTCAATTTCAACCGTATTTCCAATGTCGTATCGACTGCAAACTTGGTATAGGTATGTCATACTGATGACAATACTATATTCTATCATTGAAAATTAAACATATGTATGTTTAAACAATCTTTTTATAGCTCTAATTGTCGACGCTCAACTCACGTTGCCTCTAAATCACCATGGTCCCTGACGTCACGTCAAGCCTCTAGGAGCCACGCCGAGGGGCGGGGGATGTGGAAGGAGGGGAGGGGCGATGGGGGAAGGGGGCAGGGGGAGGGGCAGCTCGGACAGGACATTTCATTAAAGCGTGGTTTAAAAATAAAGAATTTTTACACGCTTTTATTGAGACACCTGTGGCATTGAGTGGATAAACTTTGGGATGGGCAGTTGCAGCTCACGGCCACTAGGCGACGCACGTGCGAGGAGTCAACGCGGTCCTTCCAAACAATACACGCAAAGGAATTGCACTTGCGGCTAGAGTAGGCACAAGGGCCGTCGGCCGAAACGTTAGCTTATTGTATGCTAGTCTGGTTATAAGACGTGATAAGCGCATTACGCAATGACAACCGGAAACCTGAGTTCCATTCTCGGGCACGGCGAACATCGGTAGCAAATAATATCTGAACCGGCTCTGGAGATCACCCTGTTAGGTTTGCCGGAATCGATATCTTTATTCTGTTGGCACGATTGATTGTACCGAGATCTGATAGTGTCGTGTTGAACTTCATGAGAGTAGACCTAGGCTGACTGAGAAAGATATTCGGGTTTGATTTACGGTGCAAAAGGCGGTTCGCGTCCTGTGCTGCGAACCCGGCGACCCGAGTTCGATTGCCGCTCATGCCTAACATCAGTGACGAATATCTGAACCAGATCCTGGTCCTCCCCTAGGTCGACTCAGACTCAAACAAGTAACTGGTGTGCTGTGTAAACATCGCCACTGGGGAGCCAAACGCCCCCGGGGCGTGGTGGTGGCCACCCTCTCCCCCTCGTGTGGCCGTGTCGCCCATCCACAGATGCTACTCGCAAGCCGCAGTTTGTTAACAGCTATACGGGGGGATGGGGTGGATCTCTGACTTTGCGTAACACTTAGGCGGACTGCCTCGCGCGTGCTGTGTGTGTGTGAGATGGATTTGTGTGACGGCTCCCGCGTGGCGAGGAGCGGGGGTTAATTTTTTTTCCCCTAACGCGGGTCGCTATGTTTGCGTGAATACGGTACTGCGGTACACGGCCGGGCACCCGCTCGCCGGCGATATCCCGGGCCTCTCCACGAGGCCACCCGGCGATGTAGCCTCGCAGCCTCGCTCGCCATCCACCCCCCCTCCTCCTCCCTTTCTCCCCTTCACGAGGCTCAGCCAGCGCCTGCTCCATCCGACCTCTGTTGGGGAAGCCATGGAAGAGGTGGACATGGAGAACAAAGCAAAGAGAGGTCCGTATCACCCCCACCACCATCAACCCCCACCCCATCTCTGGCTGACGAGCGCAAGATGGCTGGGCTTAGGTTGGGGGTATTGTAAGATGGACGTCGCCACGGCATTGCGTGCTTTGTCTCCATGCCGTCGTGCCCGGCCCTGCGCTGTTTCTCCCTTCTCCGTCTCTCCCCGCGACTCTTGTGTGTGCGACGCGGCGACGAGATGAACCGGGGGTTGTGTGCGAGGCGCGGCCCCTCCGGGAGAAACCCGATACCCGATTCGTTTTGTAAACTTGGCACAACGGCAGTGAAATGGAATAAAATCAGAGGGAATATAATTCGGGAAGCACAAAATGCACGGAGATGAGCCCCCCCCCCCGTCCCACCTCATCCAGCATTGGATTGATAAAAGGGCTGTACACGTACAGTCACGGATTAGCTTGCTCTTTATATGTATGTTGAACTTCTTTCGTACCGTACGTATACAACCGTGCTCATCGGTTGCTTTGTTAACAGAACAAAGTGGACGCGTTGGAGAATCGATGGCGCCCATTGAAGGCGTTACGAAATGCTACCACCTAACCATGACCCAGCATCTGACCTACTCCAACCATGCACGCTTCGTAAGAGTGAATACATGATTGACCAAATAAATGAGTTGACTTAATGCGTTAGTTTCGGGGTTTAGTGCCGTCGTTAAAATTTGATACAACTGGAAGTATCCAGTGCAAAAAGTTTTTGATTAGCGTATCATCGACAGAGCTAAATGGAAGGTGACTGTCGCCGGAATCTCTGAGAAAGGACATGGTACACACAGAGAGAGAGGTTAGCTGTGGCTAGACACAATATGAAAAACAAAGAATCGGTGGCACATCATCATCATCATCAGCGGGTGGCACCGGCAGTTCGGTAGCAGCCACAGGTCCTGTACTGGTCTCGCAGAGTCGAGGTGACATCGCCGCCCCGTGTGAAGTTGGTTCAGTACCAAGGACAGCGCCGGCACTCAATCGGCCCGTGGATCGGCATCACTGAGTGACCACTCCAATCCCAAACGACGCGATGATTTCCCGAGATGCTGGGTCACGTTTCCGTTCAAGAACATTAATTAATTTTGCGTTGGGGTTTTTTAAAATAAAATTTCGCTTTGTATTATTTGTCGGAGTTTTTCCTGTCTCGTTTGTAGAACATTCACTCCGCTTGCGTGAATGTGACGGCAAATCGCTGTTCATCCGGTTTGCATGAGTTGTAAGTAATCGATTCTTACACTCACCATACGAGCCATGTTCTCAGCCTAATGATCTATTTAAAGAGCACCACATGGACCAAGGAGCGAACGCAAGTTAGCGACAGACTAAAAAAACTAAATACGACTCAATATTGACTTTTAATTTACAATTTTAAAAAAATCTAACTCACACGTTGGTTTGTATAACTCGGCCAAGCGCGACGCCTGTGATCTTACAGACGACGTGGATGCTTTGTTTAAATTCACATTTCAACCACACCACGCCAATTCCCGACATTATTGCCAAATCGCAGTCAATCGACGGCAGTGAATCCCAAGAACCCGACACTGCCCACAGCGGGCGTTGTGAGACTTTGTTCACAATGCATGACACAAAGCAGCCAGAAGCCGCTCGCGTCTCCAGTGTACTACAACAACAATAACCGCCATTCGCCACTAAGTGGTGGTGACGTCACCACGACGCTTGTGCCAGGCTATGTGCGCCTTGAGGCCACGTAAAGTGTCGAACGCCCGCTGGCAGGAGGTCATGGGGCAGACCCAGATGCCACAGGTCGACTGACTGAGACGACTGGCTGATGCACCACCTGTGCCCCTACTGTGCCAACTTGCTGTGCTTTAGCCACCCGGCAATTACCAGCGTGGTGACGATACGTCACCACGCTGGTAATTGCAGGTAATTTTTTGTTGTGGTGGGGAGCCATAGATGTGAAGTTGCAACAAGCATTTTTTGTTGGGCTGCCTCTCTGCTGTCTACAAATGACAAGGGTGGTACGCAGTTGTACAGGGGCGGTGTGGCGTTTAGGGACGTTGTGAAACAAACCACTCGCTCTGCTAATAAATTCGATTCTTGCGTATGGCAGCAATGTAGTTCAGGAGCCAGATGCCAATGTCGAGGTCTTCTCGCCACGACGAGAGGGCTTCAGGAGAGTTGCTGTAGTCTTGCTACTCCTCCGTTGTTGAGGGAGTGCAGTCTACATTGGTTTACTGTATGGTCCATGCTTTTGGTTGCATGGTCACAATTGCACTGTGGCTTAGTCTTTCATGTTGCCCAGACGACGGTAGTTTGGTCCTTTCGGTAAAGTCACGTAGGTATAAAATAAAATAAATAAAATCACGCCGTTTCGGGCACAACTCAAGCGTCCGTCATCAGGTGGGACAACCACAGCAAGAAACAATTGCTGAAGTGGGCAAAAGAGCTGCTGTGACAAGAGGCTATATAGGTAAGAGAGGGGGGAGGAGCCTGGGAGGAGAGATAGAGAGGGGGGGGGGGTAACGAGAAAGCATGCACCAGGGTGGGCCGCGAAAAGGCATCTCTCACCCTCCTAGTCCATCACACACAGAGGCGCACACGGACGATGGTCACTCCTTACACGCTCGTGCTCGCTTTATAGATGCGATTGATATCAACTCATCCATTCACATCGATCAGCGCTCCAGGTAAGGTAGAGTAATTAACCCACCAATTGTTGCGAGTAAAATGTATTTTCAGAGGGTAAAATACCACATTCGTTTGCGGTCATGATTAAGTTAGATAAATACGTGAAACACGTCCATGCTAAGCCCACAGGGCATGCATTCACTTGAGACTTGCATTTGAACTGCAGCGGTGCTGTGAACTTATTTAGCTTGATTGTCTCACATTGATTTGCTGTCTTGCTAACATTGGATAGGAGACACAGAGGGATAGGAGTATACATGCAGAAAATGTGATCGGTATCAGATTGTCTGATGACATAGCCATTGCTAATGACCAATATGAATGAACTGCAAGGAAACGATTGACGAACTTAATAAAGAAGGCTAAAAAGTTGGGCAACAACATTGGCTAAACTATTGTAAATATTTGTCGGTTGCTTCACAACTGGAAAACACATTACTGACAACAACTGTTTCTGCAGTGTATTACTCATTTATTGCACTTGTTTACCTAGGAAAGCGTCACCGAGTATCGTGACGTTGTCAGGAGAGTCCTGCTGAGTTTTCATAATGCTGTGTATATTCCAAAAATGAATAATCTGCGGGTAATTCTTTTCAGCAAATTTGGAATTCATGACGACGGCCAACGGCCTGCTCTTGCGAATTACGTCAGGTGATATGTAACGTCCCACTGTGATGCATGTCCCGTGTATTTATACGGATTAGTACGTCCGCAGTAATAACCAGAGCGGCCCGCTGGATTCGAAACCGTGACTCTCTGCAACAGTCGTGTGAACGCGCTGCCGCCCGACCATGTCACCACCGCCCCGAATATTTGCAAAGATTTTTGTGAAGATGACCGCAGCTACGGCCACCTGGCTCGTATTTTATTGAGCGTGTCCGTTCGCGCCGAACTGAGGCAACAGCTTCATCATTTGCAGAATGCAGGAGGCGTCGTTCGTCCACTGACCACCGCTAGGCTCGGTTAGCGGACAACAATATGCGACATCGTTTGTCTTGCACCACAGCCACCTGGTTATCGGCTCTCTCCGACAGTGCGTACGTGCGTGCGTGCGCGCGTGTGCGTGGCAGTGTCGGACAAGCTGACGGACAGCATGTACATCCTCGCCAACGAGCCCTCGGTCGCGCTCTTCCGACTGCAGGAACACGTGCGCAAGTCCCTGCCGGAGCTGGTGGAGCACAAGGCATGGGGTTCCCCGCAGCCCCCACACCAGCCCATGTCCCCCCCCCCCCTGCCCCCCTTCCTCGGTGGTGTACGCAAACATTTGTAAGAGCGCGGTTTCACCGTCCGAGTCGAATCCTGACTGCGTGCGTTGCACTGCACTGTGCTGCAGGTCGACATGCAGAGCCGCGAGCAGCAGGGCCAGGGCTTGATCTACGACGTCGACTATGCCATCGGGTAATGGGACTCTCCTCCTTACCTCCTCATCCCCCCCCCCCCATCCTCCTTCTCCCCCTCCTCCTCCTCTCCTCCTTCCCCATCTTCCTCCCTCCTCCCTCGTTCTCCTCCCTCATCCTCCTCCTGATCATCATCGCTGTACGAGTGCTGTGGCCGTCACGTCGTCACCGTAATGAACGCATTACGGGTTTTTTTTCTGTCGTCGAAGAGACATCGAGATAGTGTTGGGTAGCCCGGCACGCACAGCCTTGGGGTGTAGCTACAAGATGATTTTGTTTGATACCTACGTGACTTTACCGAAAGAACCAAAGAGTAAGGTAAAACCCGTTTAGACCAATGGTTAAATTTACCGTAAATGACGAGAAACTCTAGGAGAGCCCATCAGACAGGTTTGTGTGCGTTACACACTCAGTGTGGTGATGTCAGGTGACATTTTTGTTGTCCTTCCCCTGCACCTCCGATTAGCGCGTTGGTTGGCTACGTACGGTGCTAAAGAAGTTCAACACACATGCGTGCGACGTGCAAAAGACGACGGGACGACCGTTCTGATGGCCACAATCACCCCTTTTCGCTGTCAGAAAAAAAATCATCACTTTTTGTTTTGCGTGTTGTATTATCGTTATTGTTAAGTTCCATGAGCTGTTTTTTAAATCCTTTCTATTAAGTTCGCTTGCTTGCTTGCTTACGACCGTGCAAACCTTTCGGTCGTTTTTTAACCCACTTCCCGTGATCCAATCGAGCTGACATTTTGCACGCAGACTCGTTGTGCGAGACAATTAATGTTCGTGAAATTTTTTCCAAAATTTTACACTGTTTAGGGAAAACAAATTAAATATTTAATTACCAATTGCTTAATACTGCAGACAATCATCTGACCCATAGGGGGCAGCCATCTCAAGCCAGAGGACGAGAGGACTCTAGCCGCCACGCATATAAAGGATTTAGAGTGAAAAACTTTGTTTTTACGGGTTATGCTTATTATTAGTCGCGTCTTCCATTAACAGTTTGAGCATGAACCCGTGGTCACCCGTGGTGTACACACACAGGCAGTTGGACTTGGCAAGACGAAGTAGAGAAATTAAAAGCGAGGGGTGAAAACGTTTCCGTCACTCGCCGCGTGAACACGCAGTCGGCGTTTAACAAACGCGTGCACTCGGTTATTTGACAAACTTTTCAATGGGAGCAGTACCGCCACTGTGCCACGCACGCCTAGTAGGCTCTCAGTGGCCACCTGGTCTGTCGTTTGTCGCTGCCAAGGAGTTTTGCGTTGCAGCGAATCGATCAATTTCAAGAGCGTTTTCAAATGCGCTGGCATTGAGGTGCTAAATAAAAATATCCATCCACATCGTGTATTGTGGTGTGCTTTAATTTAGCCACTGTGTGTCGTCCAAAAACTTCACAGGAATTGTGAGCGTTGCAGCAAAGCTAATTTCAAGAGAAGGAAAAAAACACCCCATTTATTTCTTCAGATTCACGCAAATCTATCGACAATTGTCGCCAAATGCTGCGCGATTCTACGCCGGCAGTGGTGCACATCCACACGTAATAACAACTCAACACATTCATCGATAACACAGCCCTAGAGAGAAGGAAAAAAAAACACGATTGGTAAGTACTCTTTGTTTTTTTTCCGGTAAAGTCACGTAGGTAAAAAAATTAATTAAATCAATGAAAACTAAATTAAATCACGACGTTTCGGGCGCAACACAAGCGTCCGTGTGTTGCGCCCGAAACGTCGTGATTTAATTGATTCATTTTCATTGTTTTACGTACGTGACTTTACCGAAAAAACCAAAGAGTATGCATCCTTGCAGTCACGAAAGCTTCAAATCTAGAATGATTGTTAAGGTTTTGGCGAATTGCCCTTCTGCAAACGTGTTGAATTTATTATTATTATTTGTGAAAGAGGCTTTGCACCTCATTTAAAGCCCTTTAGTCAGCAAACCAACCGTAAAGCCCGACTGCCAATAGCGGCACGCTCTGCCAAGCCATGCCAACCAGCCAGGGGGAGGCACCGAGCATGGGATTTAAATGAACTTGGGAGTCCGAGATTAGAAGCTTTCGTGACTGCAAGGATTCATATTCTTAGATTTTTTCGGTAAAAAAATCACTTGATACAGCTATCGTGCTGTGACGGTTCCACCTGAAGACGGAAGCTTGTGTTGCCTCCGAAACGTCGTGATTTTAATTTTTTATTTTATTTTTATTTTACTTTTATTCATTTTATTTTTTTACCTACGTGATTTTACCGAAATAAACCTAAGAACTTGGGAGTCAGCAAAACATCCCGGAGCGGGGTGAGAAAGCGCGAGCAAACGGCGAGCAAACGGCGGACGGCACGTGTCTTGTGTGTTTCTCCTCCAGGGCAGTCAATAACATATCGAGAAGCGCCACCACATTCTCCAACGTCGAAGGCCTCCTGAGGAAGGCCGTGGCCATCAAGCAGCAGCTCAACAAGGCCAGCTCGCGCACGTGAGTGGCCCGATAGGGGCCCGCCTTGCTTTGCACATCGCCGTTAATGCCTCACTTTGTATGCAGGCCGTGGGTTCTATCCCGACCCTGACGCCTGTATATTCGGAGTTTGCATGTTCTCCCTGTCGTCGTGTGGCTTTTTTTCTCCACATCTTCCAGGTTTTCCCCTGCACATTTAGAATCAACATCACGCGTTTGCAGTATTGGCTGTGAGCTATCATTTGTGGCCAGGTTGCTTCTGAAAAAGAGCGATTTTCAGTAGCTCATTGGACCTTACCTGGTATAATAGAAAAAATAGTTCAAATAGTTTAGTTTAATGTCACAAAATGGGAGAGAAACCGTCCCAACGACAGACGGTAACAAAAGCAGAGAGACAACATTTGATCAACTCTCGATAATCATATTTTGACCTCGGTTCTCAACAATTCGTCGAAACCACCAGGTGTGAGGGAACCTCTTTATCACAGAGGGCGAGTGAAGCCATTGACGTGAGCTGAGATTTAGGCCATGCCAAAGGTTCATCTCTCACCTCCCATTGATTCGACGAATTGTTGAGATTCGAGGTCAAAATACGATCACCGCGTGTTGATTATTTTTTGGTTTCTCTTCTTCTTTCCGTCTCATTGCAATGCTTTCTCACTCTTTGGTTCTTTCGGTAAAGTCACGTAGGTAGAAGATAATAGATCACGACGTTTTGATCGCAACACAAGCGACCGTCATCAGGTGAGACAATTACAGCAGGGAAACTGCTGAAAAATTATCACCTGATGACGGTTGCTTGTGTTGCGATCGAAACGTCGTGATCTATTAATTTTCTACCTACGTGACTTTACCGAAAGAACCAAAGAGTATGGATTCCTGCAGTCACGAAAGCTTTAAATCCAGATTGCAATGCTTTCTCTCATATTTCGTGTCATTTGCGGTTATGCACCGCTGCATGTTATAAAAGTGCGTTTATCTTATCTTATACATTTGTAATAACGACTTGACACACTTCTCTTGAGATGATACTTTATTGAAGACACGTTCACTTGACATCGACGGAGACCCCCACTGCAACAGCCCCAAGTCTCCCGCGCATCTCCCTTTTATACAAACCGAGGCCACGCCCCCCTTCTCGATCATTCTCGGTGATTCTGTACGCTCGCTCCACCGGCAGACTCTACCATGCTTTTCTGCCACCTAACCACGCTCCCTTCTCGATCATTCCTATAGCCACCAGTCCCTTCGCGCTTACAATGGATACCCCTGTCATTACCTCCCGTGCCACTAGTACTCACAGCGCATGTAGGCTCTACTGTGATTATCATTTATATAGCGCCTTAACTAAGGTGCTGTACAGTATAAACTAAGGTAAGGAATTTAAAGAGGCAACGATAATAAACAGGAAGCCGGTGCAGCTGAATGAGGAGAGGCGATGTGTAGGAAAGGAAGGGAAGACTAAAGATTATTTGGCTGCTACACATTTCTACTTGATAAATGACTTCGTTGAGCTATGATTGTGGCCAGGTCACTTCTGGAAAAGAGCTACATAGCTCAGTGGGCATTTTCTGCTAAAATAAAAAAAACTACGAGTAAATCGTTTTAATAGCGTGTCACATTAGCATATGATTTGCATAAAGCATAAATGTCACATTCTTACCGGGACGATTTGATGCGTGTACCGGGAGTACGCAAGTGTAGGAATCGATTTAACGGATACAAACCTGTTGTTCCATTCGATTCGTAGATTGTGTTGCATGTGATTGGTTCATGTGACCCCTGCAGCCACTAGCGGTGCTACAGTTCAAAATCGTAAAATAAAAAAATTAGAATCAAATCTTGCATTGAATTGCGACCCCCAAATCTTGACAATTAATCGAATTGCAAGGGGGGGAAGGGGGGAGGCGATCATCACAACCCTGCGTAATATACCAGGGCCTAGATTGTCCACTTAGTCATGGCACCAACTCTCTACAGAACCCAGCTTGGAGGAGCCCTCAGCATGCTTTGCCACAATGAACCAGTCTGTGTACAAGCCTTGCACGTGTGTGTGTCTCCCTCTCCAGCTCCCTTCATACGCCTTGTTTCCCAGACCCCTCACTTTCGTGATAACAGAACAGAGTTACTCTGAGCTGAGCACGCAGGCATAAGTCCAGCAGTAGTATCGCCCGCGACACTCCGAACTAACTGGGTTTTGATGACTCTAGAGAAAACAGCAGTAGAGTGGTGGGGTGTTGTAGGGGCATGGCAGGTTAGACAATCATCTTGGAATGACATCAGTGCTACGTTTATAACACCACACATTCTAGTCGCTGGTAGACTAAAGTAAGCTTGTAACTTAGAAGTCATCGCCACAGTGAGAGGTATGATGGATGTGGTATCCTGGGTGTGGAGATATTTCCTATGTCACAGACCTGGACAGACTTGACTGAGATTAAATCCAAATCCCATGACATTTCACGGCCTCAGAAACCTCCCACACTTCCAAATCTCAAATCCCCGGCAGCAGCATCATTATCAGCCAGGGTCTAGCCACTGCTGGATAAAGGCCATCATCACTCACGATCTTGCGTTGCAAAAATCCCTCCAGCACTTGCGTACGAGCTGGTTTCATCACTCAGTCTCCGTGGCAGATTACTTATCAGGCATACTCCCTTCTTTGAGTTGTCACTCTCTTGTTAGTATTGACCACCGGGCTTCATCATTTCTATTGACCTGTTCTGCCTAGGCCCACTTACGTTAAAGTTAATATGATGTCTCTAACTTGTGTATGTCCGCCAAATTCCTCTTTGTAAGTTGAATCCCAACCGTACGCCTCTCCATGCATATGTAGTGGCATAAGAGGGGAAGGGCTGCTGGGGGCTCTGGGATCCTAGGCAGATAAGCCTTGGCGCCAGGCGCTAGGATCTCAGGCACCCCAGACGCTTAAACCCCTTGGCGCCACCAACGGGGGGGCTGTGTGTGCTCTGTGGGATATCTGGGGGCGCACACAACCCCACCCCTAGTTGGGCACGAGGCATAAAAGGGCAGCTCCCTGGCCGATCAGGACCAGTTGTAGCTCAAGACCCAAGACCCAAGACCAGCCAGCTTAGGACCCTGGACCCCCTCGTCCCGCTTGTCCTTGTAAGGGCCGGGACGCTGGGAGGGCCAGTAGCGGGACTCTGGGACTCCCGGGTCTATGCCCTTGTAAGGGCGAGTTCCGAGGAAGCCAGAGTCCAGATCCGCACCTTGGCTGGGTCGGGTCAGATTAGCCTCCCCTAGGGTAATTGTAGCCGGAGGACCCCAGAGCGTAGCCAGAGTAGTGTATCTAGGCTGTCTACCTAGGTTGTGTACCTAGGCTATAACAGAGTATCAGGACTGAATGGAGTGTTGTATTGTAATAAAAAAGTTACCTCTACAAGTGTCTCTGGAACCCATTACACATACGAACTCTATTTTTCAAAAAATAATTCTTTGCATCTCCTTTTTTCGTCACGGCAGGGTAATCTGTACTGGCTAAAAACGAGCAGAGGTGCTGGCTGGATTGACTTTGTTACAAATTGGTCGAGGCAGATTAATGGAGACGTTGCTCGAGCCCCCCACACTTGGAAACCTGCAGAAAGAGTGCTGGTCCTTCATGCAACTGGCGTAGGCGGCGTGAGATGGCATCGCCTGGGCAGAGCCACTGAGCCATCTGCCCCCCCCCCCCTCCGCCTGTTATGAAAACACCGCTGACCTGCACCTTTGTTGTTGTCGTCCGCAGACTCGCAGACACGGCGTGCAATACGGGGGCGATGCTGCGACCGACGGGAACATTCTAACGGCCTGTGTTTGGCTTTCAATATGAGGGTGGAGCACACGACGCAGTGACAGGAAAAGTTTTTTCTCTTCCCCTCCACCACAACCTCCCGTGCGGATTGCGTGAGGAGCCGCCGTTGTCGAAGAGCACAAAAGACGCTGCCGGCACTTTGTTGGCTCGGACTTGTGGTGGTGTCGCAGCGACAATACGTGTCCAGCGTTAGGTCATCCCCAGACGATTTTTGTTTTAGCTGCAGCAGCATGAATAGGAAAATAAACAATTGATGTAACTACAGGTGCTTTGAAATGTGTGCCTTGGTTTAAGAATTTTACAATTTGAATTGACGCTTGTTATTTGGTGAAATGCAAATTTACATCGCAACTTTACTTGAATGGAGCGTTTGGAGACTCTCGAACGGCCACAAGCAGGGGAAGTCTTAGCTGCTGGCACGTCCTCAGTACAATACCTTAACCAACACCTGCCAGTCTTTACCACGCGCTCCCCATCTGTGCAGCGTCGTCCAGGGCAATCATTCAGACTCAACACACAAAGCGGACCGCTTCCCGCCTTGCACTGAAATTTATGCACCCGACGAGAGATGATGGAGTTCTACGTGGACGATTTCGAAAACTACGAACACTTGGGCCACTTCTACATGGAGGGGGACGTCGAGGGACCGGAGGAGGACCAAGCGGCCGAGGGTGCGGACCGCAGGGATGGCCAGGACAGCGAATCGGAAAGCGACATCGACGTGCTCGACCCCGACCCAGTGGCTGGCGAGGGCGACGACGACGACATTGTCGTCCAGGAAGAGGTGGCGGCGGCCTTAGATATGTCCCAGGAGGGCTGCTGCGTCGAAGCCGAGAACCAGCAGAACCTGCGGTGGAGCCAGGGTTTGTCCGATGTCCGCATCAGGGAGTTCTCCCAGAGCAGCGGGCCCCAGCACAGCCTGCCACTCGACGCCACGCCACTTGACTACTTCTCGCTGCTGTGGCCCGAGTCGCTGTTTGAGACAATCACCGAGGAGACGAACCGCTACGCCGAGCAGCGCATGGCCGCGGCGAAGAAGAAGGATCCCTACTGGGTGCCGACGGCCGTCAATGAGATCAAGGCGTTTTTCGCGCTCGCCATCATGATGGGCATCAAGAACCTGCCACGACTCTACTGCTACTGGGCGGGCAACGTCGGCATTGCGCTGCGACTGGATTTCGGGCACGATGTCTCACTCGCGCTACGTAAAAATCAACCAGTACCTGCACGTGCGCGACAACATGAGCATGCCGCGCATCGACCGCCGCGATTACGACCCCATCTTCAAGGTGCGCAATGTGGTAGAGACAGTGCGGGAGAACTTCGGCAGGTACTACTACCCGCACTGCGAGGTCGCCGTGGATGAGGGCATGATTCCCTTCAAGGGGCGCCTCTTCTTCAAGCAGCACATGCCCGCCAAGCCCACCAAGTGGGGCGTCAAGGTGTGGGAGCTGTGCGAGTCCGAGACCGGCTACTGCCTCAACTTCGACATCTACACGGGCCGTAACCGCAAGGCAGGACCGACCCACGGGCTGGGCCACCAGGTGGTGATGAGCCTCACCCAGCCGTACTGGCACCGCAACCACCACGTCTACTTCGACCGCTTCTTCTCCTCGCCCCGGCTGCTCGAGGACATGCTCAAGTGCAGCCTCTACGGGTGCTCTACCATCAACATGAACCGCGTGGGCCTGCCCGACGAGGCCAAGCAGCTCAAGCTGAGGAACAAGGGGGACGTGGAGTTCTTTCAGAAGGGCAACCTGGTGCTGACCGTGTGGAGGGACAAGCGTGTGGTGGTGATGCTCACGAGCAATTCGGAGGGCAAGATGCTCACGCTGCCTGACGGGCGCCTCAAGCCCGACGCCATCATGAAGTACAACAAGTACATGGGCGGCGTGGACCGTTCCGACCAGTACCGCAGCTACTACCACGTGGGACGCACCTCCAAGAAGTGGTGGCGCTACATCATCTGGTTCCTCATGAACCTGAGCATCGTGAACGCGTGGCTCCTCTACCGCGAGTCCAAGCACGACCCGCCGCCTCCCAAGGGCTACGACCACTTCCAGTTCCGCATCGAGCTTGCCGAGCAGCTCCGCGCCGGCTTCTCGGGCCGCTGCCAGACGAAGGGGCGCAAGCCGAAGCACGGACCGTTCCGAGTGCTACGCTGAGGCCATTGGGGCGCACAAGCTGGTGAGGATCCCCAACAGGAAGCGCGTGTGCCGCGAGTGCTCGCAAAACGGCAGGAAGACGCGCTCGGGCAGGCAGATCCAGACGTCGTTCCGGTGTGGCATCTGTGACCTGCCGCTGTGCCGTGCGCGCTGCTTCAGGGAGTACCACAAGAGCATCGCCGCTGACTGCCGCCATCGTGGTGGACGTAGGGGGAGAAGACAAGGAGGATGAGGAGGAGGAAGAACGGGAGGAGGGGGGTGAAGGGGAGGTGGAGGTAGAGGAAGCCGATGTCGAAATCGTGTCGGTCAATGGGCCGAATGTGGCAAGCGCGGGTAGCCTGGGAGACCAAGAGGTGAACAAATCTCCTGCGCCAAGGGAACCGAGTTTTAACACAGAGGCGAGCAGCACCAGCGAAGCAGCGGAGGTGGCAGGCGACAGGAGGGAGGCGGGTGTGGGGACTCAGGAGCCATCGCTGGTGGATTCTCAAAGCCAGGCCAGTGCTCAGCCAGCTAAGCCGGTGTGCAGCAGCTCCACGGAGGGGGTCTCGGGAGTGGCGGTCTGCGGCACCAGCACGGAGGACGACGACTTGGTGATCATCGTGGGGTCCAGCACGGCACCGCCCGTCACGCCAAACTTCCAAGAAAAGCGGGCCATAGTCAAAATCAAAACGAGGAAGAGGCAAAGGAAGGCCAAATCGAAATCTGGCCCAATGAGCAAGAAGGACGTGTCTACGAGTACGTCGGTGGATGCGTCAGAGGGCATCCTCACGCAAGGTACCGTGCAAGCAACGTCGGCGCCGGCAGGTCCAGACGGCAGAGACGGCAGTGCAGAGGCAGCCGCCAGGGCCAACGAGATCATCGTGATTGACCTCACGGATGAAGAGGACGAGAGCGCTTCACTTCAACAACAACTGCTTCCGCCGCCGCCACCAGCTCCCCCGCTGGTGGCTGCTTCCAAACGCAAGAAGAAGAAGCGCCCCAAAAAGCGACGATCCAAAAACAGAAACGCCGGGCAACACAAAAAAAACGCCACAGACTCGTCAACAAAAAAGAGAAAAACAGCCATGAAGGAAAAGGTTGCTGTCAGCAGTCAGAGGAAAGGCGCTCACCGAGCCTGCAAGGCGGCGGGCATTGGCGTCTATCAGGACAAGGTGAACTGTTCTGGTAGGGGCACACCCAGGGCCCGCAAGCAAGCGCCCGAGGCTGTGATAATCGACCTCACTGGTGAAGATGAAGTCGCGCCAGAGAGCTCGGTGGACATGGCAGACTCCACACTCCCTTTGGCTCAGTCTGGGAGACACGGATGGCGCGGAGGTCATGATGGAGGCGGCAGACAGAAGAAAGGAGAACAACACCCGAGTGGCGGTGGATGGGGACGTGTTGCCGAAGGCGGAACCGGCGGATCAATCACTGAGCAAAGGCGTCCCGAGCGCAGTTTGCCATCAGCCTCAGGAGGACATCACTCGTGGTGAAGACGAGAGCGAGGCCGTGGTCTCTTTGCTCAGCGACGACGCGATCCTATTGGGTGGTGCTGGTCACGTGTATCCACAGCAAAGACGCGTGACATCTACTGCTGCTGATGATGATGATGCTCTGAGAGCTGATTTGGACCCCACGAGGCAGGCAGAAGGAACCGCGGCCACCGACTTCAACATAAAAGCGGAAAGAGGAGACGTGGACACGGCAACAGCAGTGCATCCTGAAAATGCCGCCGCTGAAATGGAGAGGACAAAGATGGTGCTGCGTGAAGGCTCGGGCGATAAAAGCGCAGATGAAGACGTGGACACTCATCGCCCCGAAGAAGCCGTTGCGAAAGATGTTGCGAAAGATGGGGCTCCACAGAAGTCTGGTGAAGAAATCACGGTGCCTCGACTGACTGTAAAACTTGAAAAGACTGACGCACGCACACCGGCCAGTGACCTCCTGCATAGTCCACCGACTGTCCTCGTCCCAGGGGTTGACATCACTGGGACTGTCGCCATCAATCCAACAGAGGAGTCGGTGTTGATGAGCATTGGCGGCACCCTCTTGTCCGTAGCGGGAAGCAGACGTGGCATCTCCAAAGACACAACCCAAGAGCACGCGGAACAGAGCCAAATGGCCCGCCCCACAGAGAGCAATAATCCTCATCGAGGTGCTGACCCTAAAGGTGCGACGGATGAAAGCGACATTGTGGACAGATGCCGGCTGATGACGTCCAAGCAGTGCGAAGCTTCAGCCCGAGCTGACGTCGGCGATGGGTGCGTGCGTGATGCAAGACTCTGTGAAATGCAAAGTCGGCAAGGAAAGCACGCACCGCGCAATGCCGCTGAAGAAACTGCAAGTGCCAAGGACGTTGGCAATATCGGTGACCTAACGTCATCGTCATGCTCAACGTCATCATCATCATTGCTACCATCATCGTCCTCGTTCATTGATGTTATCAGCACAACCACGACGTGGACACCATCAGGCATCCAAAAAATTAGCGATCGAATGGGCATCGCTAATCTTTGGCGAACCACCCAAACGCGCACGCAGAACTGCGTCTGCTTTAACCTGAGGGCCTTGGATGACTCGGTCGAAGTGGCCACAGATTCAAACCAGGAGGAGCACAAAATCGCAGGGGTCTCGGAAAGTGATGCAATGACTGATGCAGACCAACCGAAGAAACCCACTGCTTCTGAGAAAGATAAAACCCACTATATCGATGAATATATTGAAACATTAAGCCCCATGAAAATTGACAATGAAGTGATATTGTCACCTATCGAAACGATGCATAGTACAAATGCAACTGTATCGTCAGGACAATGGACTAAAACCACACATTTAAATCAATCCCACGGTGAATGGAAAGAGCACAGTAATGTCACAGTTGATGACATTTTCAGCAACTTGAAGGGCAAGGGAAACAAGACCGGCAATGCGTCAGATACAAATGACACAGCTCA